TCATTTCAAAGAAAATACCAAGAACTGGTAGTGTTTACGGTCCTATGACTCGTAACTCTGGCATCAAACTTGAGCTGAGCGCAGTCCTTCCCTGGCACAGGCACAACAACAAAGGGAACAAACTCCCTAGGAGAAGACAGGTAAACACACATAAACACAAACTCCAGACCAATTTCACTTCCGCAAGTGGTGCAACTGGGAATCCTGTTTCTGCAAAGGGTCAGCCCAAAGAGAGAAACAACAATCCTCTTTGTGTGTTGTTGTTATTGTTTTCTAATACAATTATTCTCACACATTTTGAACTTTGTTGATAGGCCATGAAGAGATAGACCAGCATGGAGCCAAAGGATGGAAGGACTGTGTTGTTGAAAGGTTTCATGGCCAGAATCACTGGGTTGTTGTGGGCTGTATGGCCATGTTCCAAAAGCATTCTCTCCTGACGTTCCACCCACATCTACGGCAGGCATCCTCAGAGGTTGTGAGGTTTGTTGGAAACTAGGCAAGTGAGGTTTCTATCCAGGCAGGAAGCAGCCAGGCTTTGAAACTGCATGGCCATTTAATGTTAATCAAGGTGACCAATTGCAACATTCACACTTGCCTTAAACAGACAAGGCTTCTTTCTCCCACCCTGGATATTCCAGATATATTAATCTCACTTGCCTAGTTTCCTACAGACCCCACAACCTTTGAGGATGCCTGCCACAGATGTGGATGAAACATCAGGAGAGAATGGTTCTGGAACATGGCCATACAGCCCGGAAAACTCACAGCGATGGAAGAACTCTTAGCATCACCCATGGCCAAGAAAAATTGGGAATCTTAGTTCACTTCTTTTGAACTGCTCTTTTGCCTATCACTGCAGAGCACTGGAGAAATGACAATAATAATACCAAATAATTACTATATTTATTAATATCCCTCTTATCTCTTGATCTACACCTAAAACAGAGAAAGGGAGGAAATGGCTCAGGCTGTCCCCTGATCAAATCACAACAAGAAAGAAATACACATCTTGCACAATCTTACACTCAAGGGGTTGACCAGAAAAACATGAAGAGAAGGGGCAATTCGATAGGAAATAATAAGAAGGGGGTGCCTGTCTGAGCCCCCTGACAAAAGAAGGTCCCAGACAGCCCCTAAAAGGTGCCTCATCGGAGATCAGGTGCAAGGACTGAGAGACAAGAAAGATCGGATTAAGATCACGGCGGGAGGTGAAGAAAGGCCACTGTGAGTCGCTAAGGATCATCGCTTGCTGGGGCACAGGGGGCCATGATCCACCCCAGAGGGGCAAGATCCCCTCTGCAATGCCAGGACATCTGGGGAGGGGATCAGGTAGCAAAAGGGAAGGGAAAGTGGACCCTCTCTGCCACACTAGAAATCTCAGACTCTTGACATCAGGCCACAACTCTCCCTCCTATTTTGGATCTGAAAAGAAAGTGCCACAAACTTGCCCTCCATGGCCTTCACATCAGCACAATTTCCAAATCTGGATACATTCTGGTCCAGACAGGATGTGTGCCGCCTGGCATCAGTGCCAGTCGGTGTGCTCACTCTCATTTGCTCCAGTGCTCCCAACTGTCTGACCACAACTTTCCCTTAATCCAGTGGTTCCCAACTTTTGGTCCAGCAGACGTCTACACTGCACAATTAAAGCAGTTTGACACCACGCTAACTGCCACAGGTCAGTGCTACAAAATAATGAGAGATGTAGTTTTACAAGGTCTTTATCCTTCTTTAACAAATCATTTGACAAATTATTTGTCTCACTAAGAATTAAAGCAGTTTAACACCAAGTAAATTGCCATGGGTCAATGCTACTAAATCATGGGAGATGTAGTTTTACAAGGTCTTTATCCTTGTTTTGTTGAAGGCTTTCGTGGCCGGAATCATTGGGTTGATGCGAGTTTTCCGGGCTGTATGTCCATGTTCCAGAAACGTTCTCTCCTGACGTTTCACTTGCATCAATGGCAGGCATTCTCAAACATTGTGAGGTCTGTTGGAAACTAGGAAAATTGGGTATATATATCCATGGAATGCACAGGCTGGGAGAAAGAACTCTTTATCTGTTTGAGGTAGGTGTGAAATGGGGGAATTCCAGACAAGAAACAATCAGGGCCAACTAATCACCTCCCAAAAGGATTCCTCCCAGCAGTAAGAAGCCAGACTTTGAAACTGCTAGGCCATTAAGTGCAAATCAACGTAGCCAACTGCAACACTCACACCTGCCTCTAACAGACAATAGTTCGTTCTCCCACCCTGATCATCATTCCATAGATATATAAACCCCATTTTCCTAGTTTCCAACAGACCTCACAACCTCTGAGGATGCCTGCCATAGATGCAGATGAAACATCAGGAGAGAATGCTTCTGGAACATGGCCATACTGCCCAAAAAAACTCACAACAACTCAGTCTTTATCCTTTTTTGACAAATTGTTTTTGATGCCTCACCAAGAATTAAAGCAGTTTGACACCAAGTTGACACCAAGAGTCAATGCTACAAAATCATGGGAGATGTAGTTTTAAAAGGCCTTTATCCTTGTATTGTTGAAGGCGTTCATGGCCAGAATGACTGAGTTGTTGCGCGTTTTCCAGGCTGTATGGCCATGTTCCAGAAGCATTCTCTCCTGATGTTTTGCCTGCATTCATAGATGCAGGCAAAACATCAGGAGAGAATGCTTCTAAGAATTACAATATACAATATACTACTAATAATAATATAATTATATATTTTATATTAAATGTAATATTACTAATAATATTACAGTATAATGTTATAATACAATGTAATATATAATATTAATATTGTGCGATGATAATAATATATGGTATTTACTTTTTACTTGTAAGCCGTTCTGAGTCCCCTTCGGGGTGAGAAGGGCAGCATATAAATGTCATATATAATATAATAAATTAATAAATAAATAATTGCTATGGGTCAATGCTACTAAATCATGGGAGATGTAGTTTTAGAAGGTCTTTATCCTTCTTTGATAGTTTCTGATGCCTCACCAAACTTTAACTCCATAATTTTGTAGAATTGAGGAAGGACAGTTAAAGTGCTGTGAAACTGCATTAATTCAACAATATAGATGTACCCCAGGCGTTTGGCACTTCAGCTCACAGAAGCCCCAGGTATCTTGGTCAATTATCAGGAATTCTGGGAGCTGAAATCCAACCCCCCTAAGGATCAAAGGTTGGAAACCACTGCTGAATAAATCCATGCCCTGGGGCCAGAGCAAATGAGGGAAGAGGCTGGGAAGTGCTCTCTTCGCCCCTCCTCTGCTTCTCCAGAGACACTGCCTTCCTTTCCTTCCTTCTTTCCTCCCAACCCCCAAACTGATTCCACCAACCTCAAAGCATGCAATTCCTCAGATGGCAGTGTGGTGGCGCCTCTTTCTTGGGAGATTTTCAACTGAGTGCTTGGACTGTGCCAATTATTTTGAGTGCTTTAAGCCACTTTGAGTCTTGTTTAAGAGTAGAAAGTGTAATACAAATATTATTATTATTATTATTATTATTATTATTATTATTTATTTATATCCTGGTTTTCTCCCTCAGTGGACCCAAAGTGGTTTATAACATATATAATCATAGAATCAAAGAGTTGGAAGAGACCTCATGGGCCATCCAGTCCAACCCCATTCTGCCAAGAAGCAGGAATATTGCATTCAAATCAGCCCTGACAGATGGCCATCCAGCCTCTGTTTAAAAGCTTCCAAAGAAGGAGCCTCCACCATGTAAACAACAGTCCAAATATATTGATAAAAAGTATAAAACATAATAAACTAAACAGTTTAAAACAACAATAATATAGGTTGTTGAGAGTTTTCCAGGCTGTATGGCCATGTTCCAGAAGCATTCTCTCCTGACGTTTCGCCTGCATCTATGGCAGGCATCCTCAGAGGTTGTGAGGTCTGTTGGAAACTAGGAAAATGGGGTTTTCCAACAGACCTCACAACCTCTGAGGATGCCTGCCATCGATGCAGGCGAAACGTCAGGAGAGAATGCTTCTGGAACATGGCCAGACAGCCCGGCAAACTCACAACTCAGTGATTCCGGCCATGAAAACCTTCGACAATACAACAATAATATAAGTTCTTGTGGGTTTTTTCGGGCTATATGGCCATGTTCTAGAGGCATTTCTCCTGACGTTTCGCCTGCATCTATGGCAAGCATCCTCAGAGGTGAGAACATGGCCATATAGCCCGAAAAAACCCACAAGAACTTAGTGATTCCAGCCATGAAAGCCTTCGACAATACATTGAACAATAATATACATTCACACTTTTGTGGCATCGATAATAATAATAGTAATAAAAATAATAGTAATGTTCCTGATGTTTGACCGGATATCCTCTGCAGCCCTTTCTAAGTTAAGCTGGGGACTTTTTCTAAGTTTACATCATTTTCCCAGGGTGCTCCTTCTGTATTTCCCCAAAACTCTGCTCTTTCCAGGAGTTCATGACTTAAAATTCCCAGAATTTCAGTTCCCAGAATTCCTGATCACTTGCCAAGATACCTGGAGTTTCTGTGAGAATTTTCCAAATTCCTGTCGTCTGAGGCTTGTTAGGATTTTAAATCCCAAAACACCGAGAAGAGTAACGTTTGGGAATCACTTTTTAAGCACCTTCTCCAGGAAAGGAAATCACTCTCTCCTTGCGCGCAGACTGAGCCAAAAACCCCACTGCTCTAGGGCGCCCCCTTTTGGACGCTGCGGGAACTACTCCCCCATTCTACCTGGTGCCCTCAACCCCCCCCCCATTCTTCCCCAAACGCCCCTTCTTTTTCTTGTTTCCCCCCAAATCCCCAAGGAGAGAAAAGACCCCCAAAGAACTGCTTTTACGCACCGATTTTTACGCACGGGTTTTTACGCACAGGTTTTTACGCACGGGTCCCTTCCCTTCCCAAGGCGAAATCTGGCCCCGGGGGGGAAAGGGGGTGGCAAAGCAGGGAGCCCCCCTCCCAAGCTGGCCCCGATGCCCCCGATTTGGACTTACCAGAGCCGGTGGGAGCGAGAGAGGAGCCCAAAAGAGAGGCGAGAAGAGGAGCTCAGCTGCGCATCCTGCCTCGCCTGCGCCTGGCGCTGAACTGAGCCGAGGCTGGAGCGGCTCCTCCTCCCTCTCCTCCTCTTCTCCTCCTCCTTCTGCCCTTTTTCGTCAGTGGAAAACTCCTGCGCTCTGACGCAGGAGCCGCCGAGTCTCAGCCCCAGACACGGAGAGAGAGAGAAAGAGAGAAAGAGGGAGGGCAGCAGGAGAGAGAGAGAGAGAAAGGAAGAAAGAGGCCGGCCCACGCCACGCTTCCTGCCCGGCCGACTCCGAGGAAAGGAGAGGAAAGGAAAGGAGAGGAGCCAGCCGCCTCCCCGGAGGAGGAGCAGGCAGGCAGACAGGCGGGCGGCGGGCTGGGCTCGGCTCTGCTCGGCTCAGCTGCCTCCCTTCCTGCACGAGGAGGACTGGCGCAGCCCAGCCAGCGGCTCCTGCTCCTCGGGACGCATTCACACGTGAAGCCCAGGCACGCACGCGGGCACACCGGCAGCCTGGAGGCTCTGCGCAGCTCGGCTCTTGGCACAGCCGGGGCTCATGTTAGCAGCATCACCACCACCACCTTAACGCTATCTATCTATCTAAGTTCTTGTGGGTTTTTTCGGGCTATAGGGCCATGTTCTAGAGGCATTTCTCCCGACGTTTCGCCTGCATCTATGACAAGCATCCTCAGAGGTAGTGAGGTCTGTTGGAATTAGGACAATGGGTCTATGTTGGAATTAGGACAACGAGGCAATCTATCTATCTATCTAAATGCTCTGTGCATAATGAGTACCTTAAAAACAAAAGAACCAATGAACGAAATGACACCAAATTTGGCAACAAAACGTCTCACAACACAAGGAGTGACCATCACTCAAAACATTATGATTTTGTCATTTGGGAGTTGTAGTTGCCGGGATTTACAGTTCACCTACAATCAAAGAGCATTCTGAACTCCACCAATGATGGAATTGAACTAAACCTTGTACACAGGACTCCCATGACCAACAGAAAATACTAGAAGGGTTTGATAGGCATTTACCTTGAGTTTGGGAGTTGTAGTTCACCAACATCCAGAGAGCCCTTTGGACTCAAACAACGATGGATCTGGACCAAACTTGGCACAAATACTCCATATGTCCAAATGTGAACTCAGATGGAGTTTGGGGGGAAAAGAAACAACATAAACATAGACATAACAAGAGAATATAAGCATTAAAAATCACATGGAGCACTGTTACCATCCTGCCAGCAGCCAGAGCAGTACCTATTGATCTACTCACATTTGCATGTTTTCGAACTGCTAGGTTGGCAGAAGCTGGGGCTAACAGCTGGAGCTCACCCCGCTCTCCAGATTCAAACCTGTGACTTTTCAGTCAACAAGTTCAGCATCTCAGTGCTTTAACACAATGCACCACCGGGGGCTCCTTCCAACTCTAGGATATTATTATTATTATTATTATTATTAAGCATCACTTATCCAAAATCCACATTCACTTTCTTTATTGGCATCCATGGCTCTGTGAGACTGCAGACTACTGCTCACAGAGTCAGGATTCATATTATAATAATCATCACATTATTATTATTATTATTATTATTATTATTATTAATAATAGCAGTAGTGATAATAATGTGGAATCTTTTTAAGCATAGACTTCATTGCCATCTATCAAGTGTGCTTGTATTATGACTTCCTGCATGGCAGAAAGAGGTTGGATTGGATGATCTCCAGGGTATCTTCCAACTCTACAATATTATTATTATTATTAGTTAGATCCCTTATCCAAAACTCAAAATGCTCCAGAATCCAAGTTCATTTTCTTAACTGTCACTGAAGGTTCTGTGAAGCTGCAGACTTTTACTGCTTGCACCTCATATGTGACTATCATTATTATTATACTAGCTGTACTGGTACGCATTGCTCTGGCCAACCTTCCCTCTCTCTTTCTCTCCTTTTCTTTCTTTCTCTCCTTCCTTCCCTCCTTCTTTCCTTCCTTTCCCCCTTTTCTTTCCCTTCTCCTTTTTCTCCTTTCTTCTCTACCCTTTTCCTTCCTTCCCTCCCTCCCTCCCTCCTTCCTTCCTTCATTTGCTCTTTGTTCCATTCTTCCCTCTCTTTTCTTCCTTCCCTCACTCTTTCCTTCCATCATTTGGTAATTTGTTGGCCTGATAAGTGTATTGTGTCCAAATTTGGTGTCAGTTTGTCCGAGGTTTTTAACTTATGTTAATCCCACAAACGAACATTACATTTTTATTTATATAGATTACGGCTCCAAAAATCAACATTAGCACAGGAGCTAGGGTGCACGCACAGGCACGCTTATTTGAAGCTTCATTATATGGCAGTATCAATGTGGTATTTGCATGGTTGCAGAGCTTTCCTGATTGCAGAATCAAGACTCATATACGAGATTGGAGGATGATGATATGTTGGAGGTATAGAAACAGGTTGGATGGTCATCTGTCAAGCATGCTTTGATTGTATCTTCCTGCTTGGTAGAAGAGGGCTGGACTGGATGATCCTTCCAACTTTATGATGATATTATTGTTATTATTGTTATTTGAACAACTCTTATTCAAAATCTGAAATGCTCCAAATTCCGTGTTCACTTTCTGAACAGTGCTGGCAGCTCGAAAACAGAGCTCAAATCATCAGCATAAATATATTATTATTATTATTATTATTATTAGTAGTAGTAGTATTAAAGTGTGGTGGAATCTCAATGTTTTCAAACAGAGGCTGGATGATCATCTGTTGGGAGGGCTTGGACTGTGAATCCTGCATAGCAGAAGATCAGATTGGATGGTCTGATGATGATCACCATCATCATTATTATTATTGATTGAGCACCCCTTTTCTAAATTCTGAATTGCTCCAAAACTTGCATTCGCATGTGAGCTAATGTGCGCACTTGGGCACACTTTCTTGCAGAGCTCGCAGAGTCAGGGTTGTCACTATAATCATCATCATGATTCAATCAATCAATTACTCTTTACTGTACGGTCACAGCTCACTAAAACAAAAGATACCCATCACACAAAACATTATAGAAAAGCCAAGCCATCTAAAACAATATCAAATGGAGCCATAGCAATTCAAGATTGGTGTTCAATAAATTGAAACATAACAAGCTTGTAATCATTTAGTACTATTTAAAATGAAGGCAAACCCTTATTATTATTACTAATAGTAGTGCCGGAATACACTTTGGGTTGTTGTAGGTTTTTTCGGGCTATATAGCCATGTTCTAGAGGCATTTTCTCCCGACGTTTCGCCTGCATCTATGGCAAGCATCCTCAGAGGTAGTGAGGACCTCACTACCTCTGAGGATGCTTGCCATAGATGCAGGCAAAACGTTGGGAGAAAATGCCTCTAGAACATGGCCATGTAGCCCGAAAAAACCTACAACAACCCAGTGATTCCAGCCATGAAAGCCTTCGACAATACATGGAATACACTTTCTTTGTCAGAGGCTTTGTGAACAGAGATATGCCTTTATATTGTGACTTATCTATATAGTGACTTATCTACTTCACATTCTTGACTGTTTAAAATGCCAGGGATGGGTACTGATTGTGGCATTTTCTGCCCCACCCAGAAAAATACCTTGATTGGATTTGAATGCCACACATATTGCTAAGGCTGGGTCATGGGAGGTTGGAGCACAAAGAGCTACTCCGCCTCGGGCAGCAAAGTGCCTTGGGCCAACCCCAATTTAGTAACAGGCAAGCCCAACTTCCTTTGAGTTGCCGCAGCCCAGAGCTGACTGAAAGCCATGCTGATTGTGATTCTGGTGAAATCATTATGTGCACGCATGCTTATTTATTGATTCTGGTGAAATCACTACATGTGCACATGTTTATTTATTGAATTCCTTTTCTCACCTTTCCATGCACTCAAATAGGCAATCAAAGTGGCAAACTGCCATCCAATTCAAATCAGAATGAATAAAATGACAGCATAATAACTGGTTTGTTTATTGTTGCGTGACTTCAAGTTATTAGAGACTGGCTGTATTGTTGCTGTGTGTCTCCAAGTTGTTTGCGATTTAAGGTGACCCAAAGGCAATCAGATCATGAGATTTGGTTGCAGGGAAGTTGTAATTGCCTTCACCTGAGTCTGAGGGTCCATCTACACTATAGAATTAATCCAGTTTGGCACCATTTTAAGTGCTATGCCTGAATGCAGTGAGATCCTGGGATTTGTTGTTTGGTGAGACAGCAACACTCTGACAAAGTTAAAGACAATGTTAACCCACAAATTCTAAGATTCCATAGAACTGAGCAGGTAAAGTGATGCCAAACTGCATTCATTCTACCATGTAGATGCACTCTGAGAGAGTTTGTACTTGCATTATCCCTGTCATTTGACCATTCCTTACTTTTGGGTGCCCAAACTTGTTTCTAAACTCTGAACTGAAGTTTTCAGTTACTGAAATGTTAGAAATTTGGGGACTCAAAAGTTTTCTCAGTGTGACCAGTGTGTTTGGAAACAAGATAGTAAACCACAGATGAGACATATCTTCCTGACTTGTTCTGCAGAACTTGGAAAGAATGCTTCTTGAATGACGTTTCTCCCCTAATTAGCTCATTCCAGTGTTTGAAAATGCTCATCTATTGTCGTGACTCATTACAGAGTCCAGAAAGCAACTACCACTGTTGCTGTTTGTTTTTATGTTACTTTAGAAACACTTTGGGATTGATCTGTGACTTGTATAAAACTTGTATAAGTTTTGATCCAAATACCTTTTTTTTAAAAAGGCTTAATATGCCATCAACAAGTCACTTTAAAAAGTTGCTAGAAACATTAGCATGCTAACCAAATAAGTAATTTAAAAGTAACTAAACAGCAGACACTTTGTATACGCTACAGTTTGGATCCAAGATTCCCATGGATTCCAAATCTGGATGCTCAAGTCACATTATATCTCGAGGTATAAAATGGTGTCTCATATACAAAATGCAAAAATCAAGGTTTTTTTAAATGTTGGATTATTTTTTTTAATATTTTGAAGCTTGGAATAGTTGAATACATGAAACAGAATGTGTGGATATAGAGAGGGCTAACTGTAATGTTGTTAGGCACCATTAGGTATTGTTACAAGGTAATGTTTTCAAGTCTTTGTTAACCCAAAGAAGAAGAAACTAGTTATAAGTACAC